AAGGGGTCTTCAAAGGTAGTTTCCTCAGGTTTGCGTAATTGCATTTTGGGAGAGCATGGGTTGCAGATAGGTTTGGCACTATCCATGTTGTAGCATTTGAGGAGAATGACAATGTATTGTCTTTGAGTTAGGTGCAAACTAGTGGGAGAGGAAGAACTTTGATGCCAAGAAAGAAGTGTAGGTGACCCAAGTCTTAAGGTGAATTTCACATCAAGACGAGTAATAAGAGAGTATAGAAAAAAAGAAGAGTTGTCCGTAATCATTGATAGAGTAGTATATTAAAAACTTTCTTTTTTGTAGTGAAACTTGTTTTATTAATTAATAGAAGTTTGTTCTTTCCATTTTATTGAGAATGTATATAAACAAAATATTTGTATTATATTTAATATATGGTATGCATGTGTGTCTTATATTTTACATTGTAGATAATCTGATATGTAGAGTTCAGTTTATGCACACAATACCAAATTATTGGGTTGTTGTATAATATGACTATAGTTTCACAATCCTAGATAAAATTGGACATACCATTAATATATTATAGTGTGATATTCTGACATAGTTTGTCTTGACTGTAGAAGACTATTTGATATCTCAGATTATTGCATTCTTACACTTTGTGTATTGAACAAATTCACGTTGAAGTTATTATTTTTTACTAATTCAATAAGATAATAAATATCTCATGATTACTATGATTGCTTATATTCTTAATCTCAAAATATTTAATTGTCGCGTGCATATAATGTTTGTCACTTTAATTCATCAAAGAGTGATATTCATATTGAGTCAATCAACGCGGTGAATTGAGAGACAATGTTATTTGTATGGTAAAAATTAATTATTAAAGGAAACTATATCCTAGTATTTAAATGGGTTGATGATGTCCTCTTGAGGAAGGTCATAAGTTTTGTTCATATTAAACCCTACATGTGGATTTAATTATCCTACATGACAAATAAGTTGAGTGGTAAAGTCTCAAAGAATAAAATAAGTCAATTAAATATAATTGTTAATAATTTATTTAATTGATAGACATTTAAAATTTTAAAAATAGTGAGATTATTAAGCATATGATAATAAGGAACTCGAATATAATTTTGAGATAAGGTTTAGGAGATCAACAATAAGTTTTAAGTGGACTGACTTATTATTAATGAGTTGTAGGATATTTGTTCTGGATTGGACATAGGAATTCTAGACTCGTTGAAAACCCGATTCTTATTTCTCCTCAGTGTTTCTATCATAACCTATATAAAGACGTCTACACTTTCTAAATCAACATCAATTCATTACTCACGTTTTGAGAGAGACTAAAAAAGAGAGCAAAAGTTCTGAGGTTTTTGCAACCCACATTGCATCCAAATTTTTGGCGTTTGGGGATATACGATAAAAGATTGTGAGGTTTAGTGAGATACGTACCTTCTGTGTCTGTCTTCTGTTTTCTGCGTTCGTGTTGAGGGGAAATCAAACTAGAGCGATCTCAAAAGGAAATCTTAATTCCGTTTTGTACGATTTTTAAAGAAATTTTTTCTGTATTTGATACATATGCGTTGTCAATGCATTGTCTTTGACTTTGGTGCAAACTAGTGGGAGAGTGAAGAGCATTGATGCCAAGAAAGAAGTTTAGGTGACCTAAGCCTTAAGGTGAATTTCGCATCGAGATGAGTAATAAGAGAGGATAGAAAAAAAGAAGAGCTACCCGTAATGATGAGATCATCCACATAAATGAAAGCATATGCAATTGATGTGTTGATAGAGAAAATAATCAAAGAAGGATCCATGTGCGAGGCAACAATTTTGTAGTGGAGTAAAAAAGTAGTGAGGCGAGCAAACCTAACTTGTGGAACTTGTTTAAGACCATACAATGATTTTCGATGGCAAAAAACATGAGAAAGATTACACTAATCCACAAAGCCTGGAGGTTGGCTCATATAGACTTCTTCATTGAGTGTGTGCCATGGAGAAAGCCAATTGTCGAATGGTTTATCCATGCCCGATGGCGAAGCATAAAACTGTCCAAATAGTGGCGGGTTTGATGACGAAACTAAATGTTTCATTGTAGTCAATACATTATTGTTGGTTGAAACCTTTGGTGAGGAGCCACACTTTATAGCATTCCACAGTACCATCGGCCAACTTTTTGATTCAAAAAATCACTAGTAACCAATAATGTTTGGATTTGGTGGAGGAATTTGCAGTAGGGTAGTCACTAAATTAAGTAGTGTTCACTTGCCTAGATCTTGATTTGTTATTAGATTTTGAGACCATATGACAATAGTAACGTGATATCACTATTACATTCAATATTTTCTCGGTGATGACGCATATAGAGTCAAAAAAAAAATTGATTCTAAAAGTTCGACAAGTAGGAGAATTCTACCGAATTTTAAAAAATTTAACAGAACGATCAGAGACATGAACATCATTTTGGTTTGTTGGAATAACAATTTCGAAATGATTGGAAACATGAAAAACTCGTCATAAGTTTATGATTGCAACGGTATCTTACTTTACTATATATATAACCTTGTATAGTCGGGCATATTAATTTCTTTCATTTATTAGCAGGCGAGAAAGGATAATGAGAAAGGTATAAGGGGGGTTTGCTTTCATTTTGGGGTTCTCCCACATCCAAGTTCAATTACTAATCTGATCCCAACAAGACATTTAATGAAGTTGAAGAACTCGCATAGGCAGTCTAATAGTGTAGTGTAGAGTTAGTCTGAGATAAACTATAAATTCGAACATAATTCAATTCTTACTTTTGTCTTTCAGATTTAATTGATATTTATGGCTAATAGGTGATTATAGACACCAGGAGTTTACTTGGGATGGATAGATTCAACGTGACTCTATCTTGGAGAATTCTATGATAGAAAATGAGTTGAATATCTAGGCCACTTTTAAGGGGCAAACTAGATGGATGAGATCCCTTTTTCCTTGTTTTTGGACAAAAACTTACTTCAAACATCACATCTTTTGGGAAATACATCACATGACCAACATTTTGTGCGATATGATGAAAAAATTAGCGAAATCTAAAATATTCAAAAAAGAGAGATGCATCATTGGATTACATATGAAATCATACACCATTTTTAAAGGTAATATCAAACAGTTTAAAGAACAAACAAAAAATACAATAGTGGGCTTAAAATTAAGGAAGATGTTTTCTCCCCTTATATCAACATAAGTTTTGTTGCCCGGACTGCAACTAGTTATCTCTTGGAAGAAAATGTATCTAAAGGTGCAGCTTAGAGCTTCTTCATCAGAAGGTCAACTCCAAATTCAGGCTTTATCACCAATTTCAGAGCCGGAGAGTGGACATACTTGGGAGAGAGAGTGAAAGAGAAGTTGGACACAAGGGAAGCAATTAGCATCTTCAGTTCAACCATGGCCAAGTGCTGCCCAACACAGATTCGTGGCCCGAATCCGAAAGGCAAGAAGCCGTGTGGAAGCTTGCACGCAGCATTGACTCCGTTTGCGAACCTCTCTGGGTTAAAACTCAAGACATCGGGTCCCCAGAATTCAGGTTCAGTGTGCATTGTCACAACCATGGTCCAAAGGATGACACCCTTCGGTATTTGATAACCCCCGATTGTCACATCATTCAAAACCTCCCTTGCCAATGCAGGCCCAGATGGATAAAGACGCAACGTTTCTTGAAGGACCATAGTTAGCTGCAAAACAGGTCTATTTTAGCATTGAGTCGTGTTCCTAAACCTTTTGAGTTATGTCATGTCAAAATTTTTGAACTCGTAGCTCTATAATTTAAAATTGTGTATGGTTGATTTCGCATTGTGTCAATTATAACTCGTGTAAAAATCATGTTTAATAGGGTTGATATCTATTCATTTAATTGACGAGATTATCTATTATCACTTAAACCCATCAATTATAAGTGAGTTTCATATCTAATTTATTAATCTTGTCGCATCAAATTTAAAATCTGACAAAGATAGTATACCTGTTTCATTTTACGGAGCATATCAGCATCTGGTGTTTGACCACCGGTAATTTCAAGGACCTCAGCACGAACTCGATCTTGCCATTCTGGGTTTGAGGCCAAGAGCATTAGACACCATGATGCCCCAATTGCACTAGCCTCATGTGCTGCCAAGTATACGTTTTTGCAGTTAGCAACAATGAATTGGTCTATTTCTTTTTGGTTCATTTCACCATTTTCAGCGCCTTCCATGACCATTTGCAAAAGGTCCTTCTCAGCCCCAGTTTCCTTCCTCTCCTTCACCACCTCTAGGATCAAATTATGAATCTCTTTCTCTAGTGCCCATGCTTCTCTGTTAGTCTTTGTTGGAAGATATCTGAAATATATAGGAATAAACTAATTAGCATCAACGTTGTATCCAAAGAACAGTATTTGATATTTGTAGGATGAAGAAATAGATGGAAAAAATCATAGTGAAGAACATACGTTATTCCAGGGATACCAATGGACAAAACTTTATCAGAAGTAGCCTCCTGGAGAACTTTAAGTCTGTTGAAAATCTCTTTTCCCTTAACATAATTGCTACCAAAACAAGCTCTGGAAATCACATCTCCGGAAAAGGTTCTCATGTACTCGTCAATGTTTATATCTGCAAGTCCACCCTCAGAATCAATTTTGTTCTTCCATGCGTCAACCAGAATAACTACAGACTCTGATATTTGGCTTATCATTCCCTGCAAGAATTTGAGTTCGGCATAGAGGACTTTTAGTCCATCAAACAAAGCAAACAAAGAGGTTTGAAAACAGCATTATCATGTGATCACACACCTTGATTTTCTCCATGTACAATTCAGGAGCAAGGACTTTTCTGTGATATGCCCAGGTAGGTCCATTTGTGGTAAGAATGCCATCGCCAAGCAAAGGACCAAACTCTTTTCGGTGATATGAAGGTTTACCCAAGTCATAGGTTGTATGCGTGGTTATCTCTTTTATCAAATCAGGGTGATTCACATACATTATTTGTGAATTACCAAGAGAAAACACAAACAATTCACCTGTAAAACACATGAGAAAAAAAGTTAGTCAATGCTTATATTTTGCTTCCTAGCAGTGAATATGAAACCTGAGACCGTAATGATGATGATTTTGTTGTGTAATATACCGTATATTTGTCTCCACTTCTCGAAGAATNAAAACTTTATCAGAAGTAGCCTCCTGGAGAACTTTAAGTCTGTTGAAAATCTCTTTTCCCTTAACATAATTGCTACCAAAACAAGCTCTTGAAATCACATCTCCCGAAAAGGTTCTCATGTACTCGTCAATGTTTATATCTGCAAGTCCACCCTCAGAATCAATTTTGTTCTTCCATGCGTCAACCAGAATAACTACAGACTCTGATATTTGGCTTATCATTCCCTGCAAGAATTTGAGTTCGGCATAGAGGACTTTTAGTCCATCAAACAAAGCAAACAAAGAGGTTTGAAAACAGCATTATCATGTGATCACACACCTTGATTTTCTCCATGTACAATTCAGGAGCAAGGACTTTTCTGTGATATGCCCAGGTAGGTCCATTTGTGGTAAGAATGCCATCGCCAAGCAAAGGACCAAACTCTTTTCGGTGATATGAAGGTTTACCCAAGTCATAGGTTGTATGCGTGGTTATCTCTTTTATCAAATCAGGGTGATTCACATACATTATTTGTGAATTACCAAGAGAAAACACAAACAATTCACCTGTAAAACACATGAGAAAAAAAGTTAGTCAATGCTTATATTTTGCTTCCTAGCAGTGAATATGAAACCTGAGACCGTAATGATGATGATTTTGTTGTGTAATATACCGTATATTTGTCTCCACTTCTCGAAGAATGGAAAGAGAGTGGCAACCCAGTTGTGGTCGAGTTGGGTTCCATTATTGGCGGCGGATTTAGTAGCTTTTGCGGCCGCATCGATTGGTTTCTTGACCTCCATCATATTACCGAGTAGAAAACTTGGTGGTGGTCCGCCTATTCCCTGCTTCTTCAGTATCCTTCTAACCCTCGCTGGCTCAGTCACCAGAGCCTTATACAGACGCAAAAACACTGCCACCACAGAAAGCAAAGCAAGGGACATCAACACCTTGAACATCTCCATGTCTCTCTGTTATCTCTCACAGTACTATTGTTTTTACGTTCTTGGTGTGCTTTGGTTATTCTTCTTGAAGGCCTTTATATAGTGAGTGACTTAGTGGTTGGTGTATAGCGGTAGTAGAAGAGTTTAATAGTAGAGATACATGCTGCACCAAACAGCACCCCAAAGTCTATTGATACTGCGAGACAAAGTCTGCCATTGTAGAATGAGAAGTGTTGACGGCTATTCTTCATGCACGTTGATTGAAAGGAAATATAAAACAGCACTCCAAAGTTGAATGTAGGGTTGAATAGGGTGTAGAATAGAGCAAGACAAGAATAGTTATTCAACAGCTATAATCATTTTTTTTTTTTTGATAATAAACAAGCCTAGATATTCAACAGCTATAATCATTTTGAAAGCAGAATAGTTTAAGTTCACTTAGCTGACTATAGCACTGTCGAATATAGACTACTAGTATTTAGCTGTGCATATAAAATTAGGATGTACTCATCTATTCTCACAATTAAAATAAAATTAAGTGAACCTTAAAAATAAGATAATACGTCTTATAGATTTACTGTGTCAGGCCCGAGCCTAACTAGAATTAAGAGTCCAACTAAAAAAGATCCAACAAGTACATCAATTTCGAGGAGGTACATCACTAAAGAATAGGGAGCGTCATCGGAAGAGCCTCATTTACACTGCCTTAAAAATAGTCAACCATCACATCATTCTTTGACCTAATCTTAAGGAGAGCTTCTCAACTGTCTCATCGTTGAGAAGATAGCGCTAGTTCCACCATATTAATCACTTAATTACTGAAAATGCGTCTCAGTGTGTTAAGAGGTACTATAAATTGTAAGTCCCGCCAATATTTGGGGGGCATCGAATACATCTGTTATCACTCTCATATCTGTGTGTGTGTGTGTGTCTCTCTCTCTCTCTCTCTTAGCCTGTACCTCCATTACTCTCCCCTGATCTCCTTAAACTCCTCGAAGTAATAAAACACCATGCCATCATAACTCTTTATAGTGGAATAGGTTACGTCAACCAAATTACTCTATATTTTGTCTTGCTTGTGTTACTCTCGTTTTACTTAATTACTACATTAATTATTAATTACTCGACATGTGGTGCATAAAACCAATTTATGTATCATCAAGATTGATTCTAAAAAAATTGTTAGAAATGAAATAAAAAAAATTGTTACAAATGATTACCGTTGTTGTGAACAATAACTTAATTAACCATGTAAAGATAAAATAATTAAGTAACTGCATAGATATATCAGTAAGTTGTTGGGTGAGACACTAATATGGTTAGTGAGGGAATTTAAAAAGGTAAATGTGTTAGTTATTGATTAGAGTTCTGTTAATTAAATAAATCAAAATTTTGTTAAAAGAAGAAAGAGGAAAGGTGGAGGGAAGGAAACATATTGAATGTCAGCAATAATATTATTGTTTTATAAGATGGTAAGATGGGGAAGAATGATGCAAGAAATTTAGGGTGTCCAGATTTGGTTGGATTATTTACTAGACGGATTGCTTTGATTTGGTAAATTGTAACCTAATCTTTGACACCAAATTGAATTTTTGAATGTGATATATTCAATTTATCTGAATAATTTTTGTTTGTTTATCGTTCTTTTATTTGTGGAGCAAGAATAAATTACCTGGAAATATTTTTTTAATTTTTGAAATTGCTGTAAGATCACATATTCTATGTAAGTCTCGTGTTAGTTTATCTTCAAAGTTTGTTGGACTCGAACAAAAAGAGCAAAAAAATTGACTAATCTCTTTAAATTATTTTTCTCGGATAATTTAGTCTATATGGTATGGCATTAACGCTATTGTTTATCCGGGACACGAATAATTGTCTTGGGTTTATTATAACCAAAATTTAAACGTGAAAAATGTAGATCATTTTATTCAAACTAATTTAATATTTACTCTCTTATCCGCCTTGTGTCATGTGGAACCAAACACACTCGCAAGATCAAAAAAATCTAGGGCATGTTTGGTTTATAATTCAAAAATAGTTTTTTGTTTTGCGGAACAACGAAACCAACAAAAATATGTTTGGTTAGTTATTTCCATTTTCAAATTTTAGAAAACACTCTCTCCAAAACAACCATTTTTTAGAAACAGCTAAATGATGTTTTCTGTGTTTCCTCCTAAAATGGTCTCAAACGGTTTGGACAACAATGAAAACATGGAGCTTCATTTACTGTTCACTTAAACGTACCATATAAAAGGTATTTTATTTCCTTTTTTCATTTATCTTGAACAGACAACTGAGGCATAAACAAGAGGTCGAGACACTGGAGAGAATTGGGAGGAGGTCTCTTCACACCGATCCTGTGATAATGCTTCACCGACAGTGATAACCACATCCAAAGACCCTTCCATCGTTGATTTCAGGTATGGTAACCATATATTGCTCTATTTTTTCTTATTCATAGCCTTTTTGAGTTAGGGTTTGTGTCCTTTGTTACGGGCTTGTGGGTCGATTTTAGGTGGCGTTAATCCTTTGATCGAGTACATGAGATATTCGTCCTTTGGATTTGGAACAATAAGAAGACTCTCCCTACTTTTCCCTTCTTTCTTCTTCCCATTGTGTGTGGTGTGGGTGTGGGTGTGGGTGTGGGGGGGTGTGTGTGAGAGAGAGAGAGAGAGAGAGAGAAGCATGTCTGCTGGGGTCACATATCCTCTTGTGTAATACTTTTTTTTTCGCATTGTTGTATTTGACACTTCCTATTGCTGTCTTCTCCGTTTGCTAGGATCCTGCTGGTTGCCAAACAAAGACATGCAAAAAATTTGAGGCTACCTTATCAACCGGTGACACTTTAGGTTATAAAATGGTATTAATATATGATATATATATCAAAGGAAAGCATGGAGATAATGTGAGACTTCTCTTTTGTATATCAAACAGTCAATCAATTATTTTTTTGTGTTACTGTCCAAACATATTTTATTATTTTCAATTCTATAAAATTATTTTTGGAATCATATCATCAAATAAGTCCTTCGTGTCAGAAAATACCAAAACACACTTTTCTAAATACTATTTTTTGATATGCAAAACAAACAAGCCCATAATATACTTTTGGCTACTCTTTGAATAATTTTCTATTATTTATCTTACTTCTCACCAGAATTCCTTGCTATGACTTTTATTGCAGTCACCCTCAACTGCCCTGTAGTAAATGAGTTAACAAGTAGAATTATTTACTTTAGACGTAGTTAAGTGCGAATGATAAGTTTTAGGTTGTAAGTGCATTAAGTTTGTTCTTGTCATGGCATGCGTTGGATAGTAAAGTTTTTGCATCAAATCTGATATATGAGTTCTTTTCCTCTTACCGTGTGTTCGAAGATGTTATTTTGGGATTCCTATGTAGAAACTAGGAATTCTCCGGATATGCTTAAACGTGTTATTCATTTTGGTCTAGCAATAATAAACTTTGACTTGGGTTATGCAATTTGTGAACTATTTGAATTCAATAAAAACACTTCAGAGAAAAGGTGTTAGACACAATGGATATTTTGTACTCTGAAGTGTATTATTTGCAATCTTCATAGAAAAGGTGTTAGACTCAACTATATGAAATTCTAAAAGTAAATATTGCATACTTGCGCATTCACCACGCACCAAAAATCTATATTTTTCCCCTATCAATTAGTCATTTTTTAATTTGAGCCACTCTTTTCACAACCCGATTTTTTGAATCTTTTTTGCCAAAGCCTCTCTGTGTCACTGAACTCACTTCTACCTCTTTTCAATTGAATTCATAACAAAATTTGAGTAGTCGCTCTGTTTCTCTCTCTCTATTGTCTTTCTAAATCGATCAACTTTATTAATCTGCATCGTTTCTGTGGTTAAAAATTGTGTTTTTTGGATTCTTTCATTTATGAAAGGATTAGAAACAAGTTTAAATTAATATGTTAGTTCTTGTCGAATTTTTGATTGTTTACTATGATTGGGTATGAGTTTTGAAAGAAGAACTAGAACTTTTTAATCTTTTTTTTTTTTTGGATTGGTTGAGGCGTAATTGCGCAACCAGCTTTGTCGAATGCAGCCATCTTGCTCTGGTTGATTATTCTTCTATCAGAATTCAACTTTTGTTTCCGTACTACATTTTATGTAATTGCTATTAGAACTTTCCCAGGGCCTTTTTGACATTCAGAGTGTGAAAAAAAACATAAAACCAATTGGATTTTTCTATATATTGCAATGTATGGTTAAAAAGGTATTTATGGAGATTTACAAGGTAATTGAGTACAAGTAGGATTCTAAGTATTCAAAGTAACAGATAAGATAATATGATATCATTGCAGTGTGTTTGAAATTCTGTTGTAGATCACACTTTTATCCTTCTTCTCTTGTATTCCCCGGCAAGTGAACGTGTATGGAAGAAGGATGAGCTTGTCTTGAAGCAAGAGAAAACGTGGAGTTGAAAGCGCTGGGAATTGAAAGCAAAATAAATCACCAAAGGTACACAAAATCAAGTAATACAGAGGCAAAAAAAAATTTGCTATATTTCATTAAGAATGATCACAATATTAAGCAATACAAAGAAGAAGCTAATATGAATTTTCAGCGAGAACAACACAAAAATAACTTTCAAAACTCACAAACAGAGCTTCAGCTCCGAAGACAACTGTTGTGTTTTCCTCTTGCAGCAACACATTTTTTCCCTTTGATTTTTCCTCTGTTTTTCTGCATAAACATACTTTGTTTTGGCAGCAACTCTTTGTCCTTTATATGCCTCTGTTTTCAAGCCGGAGACCCTTGAATCTGCTCACTCCATGGCTAGCCGCCTCCAAGCATGAAACTAACTTTTGTCTGTTCATCTTTCCACGTAGCAGTGCATGAACACATCTCCCAAAGGCATGAATAGACTTCTTCAAATATTCTGGACTCTTCTACTGCCTCTTCAAATGCACAAAATACAAGTTTAAATACCATCTAACACCTTAACTTTTCAATATTATATCATAATATTCAATTGAAAAATACTC